CCCCAGTTAAAAAAGAAAACACACTTCGAACGCTCCAGTTATTTTCCGAGGCTTGTTTATATCTTTCTATTGAATTTGGCAAGTCTTTTTCTCTTATTTTTTCTTAAATGTGTTGTGTTATATATAAATTTACATTTTTAATTTGTTTAATTTCGTAACATGGTTTTAACTTTATTTTTGTTACATTTACAATAGTTTTAAACATGTCAATGTTTAAATTATTTCACAAACTAAATAATTTTTCATATTAATTTTTAGGAATGGAAGGGATGACAATGTATTTATTCCACAAGTGAATGTTGGTGCGATTTCAATATTCGGGCAAGAATTTCAAACGCTTGATGATGTGTATAATTTTTACAATGAGTATGCAAAATTAGTTGGTTTTAGCATATGTATTGGTAGTAGCCGAAAGAATCCACAAACAAATGAGCTTGTTTGGAAGTCGTATGTTTGCTTTAAACAGGGTCAAAAAGATAAGTCATACCAGATGAAACTCAAAAATTTGGTGTCGTTCTTGTGAACGAAAGCATGGGAACTCACGTTGTGGATGTGACGCAAAGTTAACAGTTGTAAAACATCAGACAACTTCTATGTGGATTGTAAGCCATTTTGTCGAGGGGCACAATCATGTACTATCTACACTAAGAAAAACGTACCTACTACGCTCACATCAACATGTTTCTGCAACAAAAAAATGCTTATTGACCAATTTTCACAGGCCAATATTCCTAGCTGTCAACAAATCAGACTTATGGAGATAGATGCTGGTGGGCCTTCTTCATTGGGCTGTAATGAGCAAGATATTGGGAACCATCGACAAGATCGGCAACAAGAAGCCATTGGACGCAATGCAGAAACATTGATTGCGCATTTCGAGTTGGAAAAAAGAAGGAGTCCTAGCTTCTACTGCGCCTATGAGACTGACGAGGATGGTGTGTTCGCTAGTTGTTTCTTGGCTAATGCACAGTCTAAGAGTTCTTATGTTTACTTCGAAGATGATGTCGTTTTCGACACAACATATAACACAAACAAGTATTCGATGGTGTTCGCACCATTCGTTGGAGTAAATCACCATCGATAAACTACTATTTTCGAATGTGGCTTATTAATTGATGAAAAGAACGATTCATTTATTTGGTTGTTTTTGAAGTTCGTCGAAGTAATGCCCACCCAACGGGCCCCCGAGGTGATTATTACTGATCAAGACACTACCATTGCTAGAGCAGTTGGTGAGGTTTTTCTTAACACAATGCATAGGTTCTGTCTGTGGCATATTCTAAATAAGTTCTTAGAGAAGATGAGTCTCGTGCTGTACAAGGAACTATACCACGGCCTGGTGAGTATCATTAAGCAGTCGGAGTCTCTAGAGGAGTTCGAATCTCGTTGGGCTAATGTAATGGAAACTACTGATCTTGGTGATAATGAGAGGCTTGCCAACGTGTATGAAATATAAAGTTGTTGGGTACCTATGTACGTGAAGTATATATTCTCTGCCAGCATGACAGCAGTCAATGGTCAGAAAGCAACCAAGCGTTCTTCAAAAGATATGTCAATAAGATGGATGCATTAATGGATTTTATCACATAGTTTAGCAATGCTCTGGCTCACCGCGACATAGCGAATTGGTTGCCAACCACACTGACTTGAACGAGGTGTCTCGTACGATAACAACATTTGCCAGGGAAACTCAAATGACACATATTTATACAAAAACAATTTTCCCGTTGTTCCAAGAGAAATTAGCTCAGAGTAGCTACTACGTTTCCTCAAGGAAATTAGCATACGATGGTGTCAAAATGTATATTGTAATGGGTTTTGATACCAGAAAAACATATCATTGCCAATGTGAGCTGGCCTACTACAGGGCCATTGACTTCATAGCATGCAACTACAAAACATTTGAGTTTGAAGGATATACACATCGTAACATGCTCGGACTTATGCTTAGGAAACAGGTGATGTTGTTACCAGACCAGTACATTGTAGGTTGGTGGATGCAAAATGTAAAAGCAACTCCAGTCTTCGAACCAACGACAACCTCAATGGGTGGTCAATCTTTGATTACTCGACATGGGATGCTGGCACACACGGCAGCAGAGTTGGTGGACGAAGGTGCCTTGACTGATGATCGTACAACGTTAATAATGGATGAATTTCAGAACTTGAAAAATACAAGTAAAAGCTATGGATAATAGAGGAGATATGGGAATGAGTAGGGTTATCAGCAAGAGCAGCGAAGGTGCCCAACTCGTGATTGATCCTACTCCGGTTATGGCAAAAGGACGCGGGAAGAGATTGAAGTCATCCAAAGAAATAGACGTATCTCAGTTGAAGAGAAATTGTCGTGTTTGTGGTCGTAGTGGACATTACAAAAGAACTTGTCCGACATTGCAGTCGAGGTTAGTTGATCGATAATTATTAACTGTTGCCATTATTTTGTTGTAGTGGACATTACAAAAGAACTTGTCCGACATTGCAGTCGAGGTTAGTTGATCGATAATTATTAACTGTAGCCATTATTTTGTTTTATTTTCTACTATGGTTATATTTAGATATATTTTTCCACACCTTTAAGAGTTAGCTAGTGGACTAAACCATATCATCCACAGTACTCTTGGGACGATACTCAGGAAGATAGGTACATTAGTATTGGTAGCAGTGATTATGGTGCATTCCATGGGTTTGACGATTATGATGACCATTAAACCATTTATTGTTGTACTCGTTCGACGTAGTTTGAATTAAATATGTTGCATTGTCTTTTTTTTTGGTCTAAATGTGTGGCAATGTTGGTAAAAATATCATATGAAATTTGCGGTGTTATTATTAATATCAAAAAAATGTAATATGCGCATATTAAAAATTATTAATGCAAAATAAAAAATAAAAATAATACATTACAAAAAGACCAAAATATAAAAAATACTAAACAAAACAATTGAAAGAACAAAAAACAAAGAATTATAGAAAAGACAAAATAATAATAATAATAATAATAATAATTAAATAATGTTGTCAGCCACAAGACATTATTTATTCACACGCAAAGATAAGGACTTTGCATGTGAATTGAGGCTTTGCCTTGTCACGTGGCAATGGAACAGTTCATATCAATTCTGTGTAGAAGGACACGCGAAGGCATCAAGAAAGTAAGATGCAATGTTACCCTACATTGAAGTCAATTACTGTACAAGAAAGGACTATGCCAAACCAAATACTTTCGTACAATATATTTTATTGGGCTACTTTTTCAATCATAGTTGCCATGTGACAGGTTGGAAAATTTGACAGTTTCAAGAGCACGCTTTTATTTAGGTTTTTATTTAAAAATATGATAACCTTTGACCCATGTGGCTGCTAAGGTTTACCATTACCTAAACATTTATAAAAAATAATTACAATCATGTTACATGTACTTCATCTTTTACATTATTATTTACATTGTGTTACATGACATACATTATTGGACAGTTAAAAAAAAATTCCTGTCTATAATTTTTTGAAAACACGAATGATGTCGAAAGGAGTGTACATCATAACATTATTGAAATAATTACTAGTGGGACAATATGGATATGACATTCCAACAAATCACGTTTCAAAAGGTCCTTAATCTTTGATGGTTGTCTTACTAATGTCCTCAACTATTTTTGTCGCATTTTTATCCTTCATTTTTGGTGGCTAACACATCTAGTCTTGATGATAGTTTATGTCCCAATATCTTGTTAGTGTACGTCCCAATATCATGTTATTTTTTCTTGTCCTTATTTGATAGGGATTGAAATCAGATTTTTAATAGATTTTAGTAAAAATTGATGAAATGTGTGATTGAAAGTTATAGATCTCATAAAATGTGTTTAAAATTAGTTGTGAACTTTGACTTAAATTTAAATTAAAATTTTATTCTAATTTCCAAAGGATTTTTTGGATGAATACCGTCGGTGTTCAATATATGTTAATTAAGAAAATATTGATGATAAGAATGCTGAAAATTAAGAAAAATTAAAAAATTGTGCATGAACAAAGATTGAATACCTTTCATGCAATAAAAAAAACTGTGGCAATATAGCTCTATCTTTAGGTCAAACAAATATATTCCAAGAAGATGACCATTTCATCCAACTCATTTTCCTATATAAACACACATAACCTTGTTAAAATCAGCTACTACAAAATTCATTTCATTACAAACTTTTGAAAAAACATTCTTGATTTTGACTTGATCAATTAATCTGCAGAAAACCATGTCAACATTGGCAAACTCTATTGTTGGGCACGTTTCAACTGGTCTCCATATCAAGCCTTATTCTAGGCTTCAAGTTTTGGCTTGGAATCCCATTTCAAAACAGAAGGACCACCAGAGCTTTTTTTGGAGCAAAAGTTTAGTGCAGTGCAATAACAACGACAAAAGGTTCGTTTATCGGGTTAATTGTGGTGCATATGATTTTTTTTCTTAATCTTGTCTAATATTGTTGCTTTTTGTGTGTGTGTGTGTGTTTTTTTCAGGAATTTCGCTGTTTATGCTAGCAGTGTACCAGGAGCTTCATCGCCTTCTGGACCACCCTCCAACTCCATGTAAGTTTGAATATTTGAATCAAAACAGTAAATTCAAAGATTTATTTCTATTTTTTTACATATTTTTCTGCTAAATTTGATCATGCAGTAGGAGCTGGATTCTAGGACTGGTGGTATCAATAATTCTACCCTTTTTCACACACAAATGGGGGCCATTATGGGTCATTAAGAGTAAGGCTCAAAAATATTCCTTCTTCAATAATTCTTATAGCCTGCAAGTATGGTATGAACTATATGTTTTGGACCATATTTTAAAGAAGAAAACTATTTGAAGTAAATTCTAGTTTAACTTCTAATTTTCAAACTTCTAGATGAGATTGTTTCCATTAATAAAAAATTAATATATCGCAAATAATGGATTGAAAAGAGCAAGAAATGAACTTGAGTTTTAACGGAATAAAATATATAAATATTTTTTTTTTCGTCTAGCCGATGAGCCAGACGAAAAAAATATTTATAGGCTAAACCAATGTCTGGTATAAATTAAAAATAAAATTTAATCTAAATCAAAATCAAGAATATTTTATTGGGTCCGCATACTTTCAACCACACATTTTTCATCGATTCTTACCTAAATCTGCTAAAAATCTAATCTTCATAGTTTTGTTGTGCTTGCATAATATATATAACGGTATTAACGCTTTAAGTTTTTGCAAATTTGCAGATAGAATTGAAAATGCAGTGCAAACTGTAGAAAATATAGTGAACGCGGTGGAGAAGGTGGCTGAAGAAGTTGACAAAATTGCAGAGGATATTGTAGATGAACTCCCTGAAGGACAACTCAAAAATATTGCACATTTTGTTGAAGATATTGCCGAAAAAACAGCTAAGAATGCTGATTCAATTGGCAATTTAATCGACAAGGTATACCTAATTTGTTTCTTAATTAATAAAATAATTAATTTGTCTTAATCTTCATCGAATACTTTAGACAATGTCACCTTAGTATTAAAAAAATAATTAAAATATACCAAGTTGCACATGCGACTTCATAGGAAAAGGATACATGTTAACATAAGTTGCACATGAAATTGAGTATATTTTAATCTGATTGTCTGGAATCCAGTTCAGCAGTACAAATTTTCTCAGAGGTGTCTTGAGACAATGCCTATATTTTGCCCCCATTTTTTCTGAACTTATTTTCAACATATTCTCTCACAAAATAGTGTAAAATTTTACACGTAAATCAAAAAAATTTCCTTATGAACTATTTAATTACACTGAATCTGCAGGTTCAGGAAGCTGAGGAAAAGCTGGAGGGCATTGTTGAATCTATCAGTGATGAAGGCAAAAAGTCTCCCACAGAAGCAAATGCGAGAATGAAACAAGAAGACTAGAAATAATCCATGCAATAATTTGATTATGAGCTGTTAACTGTAATGGACTGTTTTGGATTTGTGAATACGAGAATTCTTCTTTTTTTTCTCCACGTACATCCAGGAAAGTGTTAGTTTATTTTTTCGACTTCTGGGCAAAGAATTAAATAAAGGTTAATTTTTTTCATTTTAATATCTAGCAATTTCGAGTTCTTAGGACTATATATTTATAATGGGTAGCATTTGAAACGAAGAAGGATTGATAAATCAAGTGTTTGAAGCAATAAAATAAAAGCAGCTAAGAATGCTGATTCAGTCCGACAAGGTATACCTAATTTGTTTCTTAATTAATAAAGAAATTAATTTTGTCTTAATTATATAGTACATTTTTGTTCTAATTTTGATTTAATATTTTTAACTAAATTTAAATAGTATTAAAGAAGTACCAAGTTGCCCACGTGACTTCATAGGAAAAAGATGGTTGCCATTGTACAATATTATTAAAATTTCAAGCTGCACATGCTACTTGCAACTTTTGAAAGTCGTAGAAATTTAAGCCTAATTTTCAACTCTTAATTTGTCATTAATTTGGAGTCATTAAATTAATTTTTTTTTTCCCGTATGCTTGTTTGGTGAGATTTTTTTGAAGTGAAAAATATTTTTTATAATTCATTAAAAAGTAGAAAAAAAATTATAAATCCAGAAAAAATGATTATCAAAAAAATATTGATGTCATGCTTGATGATTGTGTCAACATTTGCTTTATTTTTCTTATGTTGTCATCCGTGTTGTTGTTGTTATTCTTTCGCTTTTCAAGCTAATAGAATCAGAGACGGAATGACTTTAGATTCAAACAAAACAAAAAATTATTGTAATAAATATGAAGTTGAGCGACCTTTACAATATATCACCCCTTCCAAATTATTCAATTATACTTCGTTTTTTTACCTTAGAAATATGTAGTCCATTTTCTTTTTCTGTATCTTCTTTAGAGTTCTATTTTTATTTTTTTCACAGTTTATGGCCCTCGATGGCTCCGGCCTCCTAGGTTTAACTTGTAAGAACCATTTAATGACTAGTATAAGTTCAATTTGCAGAGGATAAAGTGGAGTCCTTTGTTGAGTCTTTTGATGATGAAGCAAAAATGTCTCCTACAGAAGCAAATTTGAGAATGAAATAAGAAGATTAGAATTACCCTACGCCATAATTTGTAAATTCAAGTATTCCTTAATTATTTTTTCTCCGAAAATCTAGGAGTGGTTGCTAGAATTTCCAGATTTTATCAAGCCCCGAAAGAAATACAACGGTTGTCTTTTGCATTTTCTTTTTGTTGAATTGTGATGTTGTAAAAGAAAGTACGCGGTTAAGAGGTTTGTTAAATGAAATTGGTTTTGTGAATGATTCTATTAGGATTTACACTGATAATCAAAATGCCATTCATTTGAGTAAAAAATCATGTTTATCATGATAGAACTAAACACATAGACATTAAGTTTCATTTTGTGAGATAAACACATATACATTAGGTTTCATTTTGTGAGAAATATGGCAGAAAAAAGGTTTGATCAGTTTAGTTAAAATTCCTACAGAATTTAATCATTTAGATTTGAGGACTAAGGTATTACCTTTAAATAAATTTAGAAATTGCTTGAAGATTCTGAATATCCCCTGATGTTGCGATAATTAGAACTTCAAATATTATTGTTGAAAAGAGTTGAACTAATTTTATTTTTTTACCTAGATCCATTAGAAAGGCTAAGGAATAGCTCAACAAAGTGAAGATTGTTAATGTATTTGGATTGCCTGACTACTACTTGGCCTGTTGTGCCATTTGTGCAATTGGGCCAGAACTTGTTAAAACGCGTTTGAATGAAGCATGCCTTTTAGCCTCTTGATGGTTGAGGATCTACTCTATACGTGGCTATATTTTCACCCTTGAATTGTGACTGTTGAGTTGGATAGATACGTGACTTGATCTTGGCACTTTAACTTCTTCTAGACTGTTCTGCCTTCAGTCTCTTTGTCTCCTCCCTTTTTCTAAGTGATACTTAGGGTTTTTTCCTGTAAAATCTGTAATCGATCTTTGTGGTATCTTCAATCTTTGATTCTTTGTGGTTTTTTTAATTGTTGTGTACATTCATTTAGAGATTGAAGGTTGTATGATTATGTTCGTAGAAGAGGCGAAATAAAACTTGAAGAAAATGTTGGTTTCTTTGTACATTTTGTATTGATTCTTGGTTTATTCTTAGTAGATCTAGAGTTATATCTCATTGTAGATGCTCAATGGGTGATTAGGTTGCAAGACTGAACATTCGGGCACTTTGGGGCAAAAAATTCTCGTGTTCTGATTTTCTTTAATTTCTGCAATTTTGTGGTGGTTGTAAAATTCGATCCTTAGAATAACTTGTTTCAGGGCCTGACAAAAAGTTTTCGCTTGTTGGGTAATTTGGCCAACTTAGAACACGTATAGTAGTTTAATTGATTAAGACAAATGCCGGAGGCTTGAGTTTTTACACAAGTGATTTTTTATGTTCAGAAATGAATTTTTCTATTATGCTCACAAATTGTTAAGTTGCAGTTTATGTCTCATTTAGAATATGTTCACTGCAGTGGCTTTAGTTTTGGAATAATTGAATACTCTTAGTGCTATATAGGGGTGACTATCATTAAGAATATTGCCTTATTCTTTAATGGTGTACTCAAATCATAAAGTGAACAAATACCTAATGTTTATGGTATTTATGAATCCTTGTTTAGTGTTTAATTTCTGTTGTATTTTATGAACTCTTGAGACTTGACTTCACTATTTATTCACAGACGAGCTCCAATTCATCGTCCAGGTAGCCACAGGGTGAATGTTCAAGACAAGGCAGATTTTCATGACAAGCAATCATAAGGTAACAAGACAGTGATAAATTGGGAATTAATGAGTCAGTGACAATAATCATTCAGAACTAAAGTGGACAATGAATTGGAATAGATTGATGACTCTACATTAGTTGAAGTATTAGTATGTATCTAGGTCGTTAAACAAATCTTAGACATGACTTCATTGCTCGGAGTTGTTTTGTATTTAGGCTGTTGCTTCAAGAGTTGCTGAAGAGATGAGTATCAAGGTAGGCGACGAAGTTAGTTATACAATTCAATTTGAAGTTGTCACCAATATTGTGAATATCACTGATGTTTCTATCCAATATTATCTTCGGCAGGCCATCGTAATAAATGATGGAATTTTAAAATTTTACTTGTAAGGCTTTGTATTTCATTTTCATTGATTATTTTCTAGCCATGAAATTATTCGTGTATGTTTGTATTGACATTCAATAGTAGAAAGACTTCCATTTTTTGGTAGAAAGGACTTGACAAGGGTAAAATTTTTGTCTAATGGAGTGTTATGTGTTACCAGGAGAAATGATGGATGATCCACTCTTAAGCAATTATAGGTAGGCTCATGCTTTTCAAAGAGGCGCACACATACATATATATGAAACATTGTGGCCATGTAAAATCTTTATGGTTCTATAAGAAATATTGTTAATATGACTCACACGTATGACGTTGCCAACTTTTCTCTTTTCTTATCTCTTCAATCATCACAAAATTAGCTACATTACTTGGTTTCAATATCATATGTTCAAATATTTTCACCTTTTTAAGATATTGCACTTTTTATCGACCCCTTCAGAGAACATTTTGAATTTTAATGCTGCTTAAATTTCTCGGTGCAAGTATATCTACAGCTGTTATCATGACACTTGTATGGGCGCAAACTATTTCAGATTATTGTTTTCAGGCAAGACTTATCATCATAATAACATGTTTGCATGTATATGCACTGCATATCTTTTCATTTGCTAATTTAATATCTATCTATTTGTATACATACCTCTCACTGTTATACATTATGCATCTTCGCATTTTTTTTCATTTTGTGATGATGACATGCTGAATCAAGTCTTTATGTATATGATGAACTCGCAACCTTGCCTTCCATTTCAAATGTTATGCTTCTGCAAATTTTCTAGTAGGATTTACACGTTCAAAGTGAAATTTTAAACTATTCAAGTTATTGTTAAATAGATGCATTTGAGTTTCTCAAATTACTCCCATATTTAGGTATTTTTTCAATTATAATTGTACCCAATTAAGTACAAACTAGAACGCATGTTAATACTTTTCAGCTTTCGAACATTGTATCAAATTTAAACACTTTCAAGGATGTGCTTTATTGTTAAGTGATCAGACGCTTATATAGATAACTGTGAATATGCACTTGACATATTTGGTTCATTTTCATTCTTTATGGGTCACAACTTCTCTTAGGGATGGTGTGGACGAATCAGAGTTTGCTCGAGTTATGAATTTTGAACTTGACCTAATAATCAAGGTACTTTTCTATTTTTTGGTTTCCATGAAAATTTGAATAATTTTTTATCAGCCCTTTTCATCTTGCTTTCCTTCCGGCATCGTTGTTATGAGTTTTTTTTTTTTTTTTAATTGTGGAATTATTAAAAAGAATCTTCAAAAATATGATTCATCCATTTCGGTTTGATCTTCGAAATTTTGTATATAAGCAAACTATCTTGCTGATCTTTATAATACGTCTATTAATAGAAGCAAACGTGTTCGGTAAAAAATGTTGATACCCTTCTCGTGGAAGTTTGAGTTTTGCTTGCTCATTTTTCTTTCCTTGTAGACATAACATCCCTTTTCTTTTGAATATTAACGAATTAACATGCAACACACGTTCACCCCACTAGTTGTTGGAGATATGACTAAAAAACAGCTAAGAATGTTGATTCAATTGGAGATCTAATCGACAAGGTATACCTAATTTGTTTATGAATTAATAAAAAAATTGATTTTGTCTTAATCTTCTCTAAAAAATTTAGACGATGTCACTATTAAGATTTGTTAGATTGTATAGGGTCATTTATGTCTTTTACAATTCCTAATTTCACATATAAATAGGCGCTTGTAACTCGTTTGTAAATTAACTTTTTACTAGAAAAAATTCAGAAGAGGTCAACAACCTTTCCCACCCTTTCCTCCATTTTCAGATCTTGTTTTCTCTGCTGTAAAGTTCACATGGTATCAAAGCTATGAATTCCTTTTGCGATGGCGAATGAATTTGGTCCTCAAACAGAGAATCAAAACCAGATGAATCAAGCGGATTCACCTCTTGATCCATCATTTGCAGAAACAATGACTGGAGATGTGGCGTCCATTGTCAATCGATTGATTAGCGATCCTAGCAGTCCATATTACCTTCACTTTGGTGATATTACTGGAATGCAACTCATTTATGTTGTTCTCATTGAAGAAAATTACACTACCTAGAGCAGAGCTGTGATTATGGCTTTAAGTGTGAAAACTAAAGAGGGATTTATTAACGGATCTATTACCAAACCTACCTCAAATGATCCTCTTTATGGTACTTGGAGAAGATGCAATCATGTAGTGTCTTCATGGATTATTAATTCGATTCCAAAAGAATTATATCCCAGCATGATGCATAAGGACTGAGCAAGGCAATTTAGATTGAGCTTAGAGATCGGTACAGCCAAAGCAATGGTCCTCGCATTTATGAGCTCAAGAAGCAAATTACCTCGATTTCTCAGGCAAATAATTCTGTGAACTCATATTTTAATAGATTTAATTGGTTTTGGAAAGAACTTGAGAATTACAGACCAGAAACAGACAACACTAACTATAAATCTGAGGATCAGACTATGCAGTTTTTGATGGGATTAGATGGCCATTTTCAAGTGTGAGAAGCCAGATCTTACTGATGGATCCTATACCCTCACTTAACATTTTTGCTCTAGTTCTATAGGAAGAAAGGCAGCGGGAGATTATAAATAAAGGGCAGCATAACATTGTTGATGCTGCTGCCTTTACCAGCAAATTGATTCCCAAGTATATAGGCAATCGGAGAATCAATTCTCTAAATCAATCACACAGAAGAGAAATGCTTGTCCGTAGCTATTGTAGAATGCTTGGGCACATTAAAGGAAAATGCTACAAACTTATTGGTTATCCTCCTGGTCATAGACTTGCTAAAGACAGGAACTTAGTTGCTAATGTTGTTAGTCAGACATCTCGAGTTAGTGCTTATGAGATAACAAATTCATTGTCAAATGTTACCATAACACCATAGCAATGCCAATAAATCATTGCATTGTTGGCAGCACAACTTCAAGGACAAGTCTTAGGCTCTAATCTGCAGTCACAAAGTGTAGTTTCTACCATCTTCTATACTTGATGCCTTTACATTATCAGGTAATAGCATCACACCTGCAGGTAAGTGGATCATTGATATTGGAGCTTGTGAGCATATGGTTTATTCTATCAAACATTTAACCCAAGTAACTGGTATTATTAATGCAATGGTTAGTTTGCCTGATGGTAACTTGGCTGTTGTTACACACACTGGAGATGTGAAGTTATCAACTAACCTTATTTTGATAGATGTTTTAGTTGTGCTAAGTTTCAAAGTCAATCTGATATCTGCCAGCCAATTGATAATTAAACATCATTGTTTTCTGATATTCCTTCATGATTGCTCTTTTGTTCAGGATCTTTCAACATGGATGACGATTGGGGTATGCAAGCTTGAAGGTGGTTTATACCATTTTCAACGTCCTAAATACCCGTATAATGATCAATCTCCAAAGTCCCTTTCAAATCTTACTTCTGTTCACAGTTTAAATAATCATTCTATATCTTTTTCAAGTTGTAATAAACAGAATTCCGTTGCTTGTACCTCTATTGACAATGTTCCCAATATGAATATTGATATTTGGCATTATCATTTGGGCCACATTCATATATCTCAGGTGTCTCTTTTACATAAATTTGTTCCTGCCATTACTTTTAATGAACATTTGCATTGTCTTATTTGCCCCATGGCTAAGCAACATAGGTTTCCATTTCAGAATAGTGAGACTAAATCTTCCAAGCCATTTGAAATCATTCACTGTGACATATGGGGTCCCTACTCCGTTCCTCCCTTAGATGGATCTAAATATTTTTTAAACATTGTTGTTGACTATATCGGTATGACTTGGACCTATCTTAAGAAGGATGAATCCCAAAACAGGCCCATCATTCAGCCATTCTTTCAGTTAATCCAAACACACTTCAGTTGCAATATTAAGTTCCTCAAGTCAGGCAATGGTTCTGAGTTCCTCATGAATGACTTTTATCAAACAAAAGGCATTATTCATCAAATGAGTTGTGTTAAAACTCCACAACAGAATAAAGTTGCTAAAAGAAAGCACCAACACATTCTTAACATTGCTAGAGCTATCAAATTCCAAGCTAAATTGCCTCATAATTTCTGGGGATATTGTATCTTAACTGCCACACATCATCAACAGAACCCCAACCAAAATCCTTAATGACGATCGCCATATGAAATGTTATACCAGACAAAGGCATCTTATATTCACCTTATAGTGTTTGGCTGCCTTCGTTATGCTTCAACCCTTAAAAGAAATCGTACACAATTCGATCCCAGAGTCATGCCTTGTGTTTTTCTTGGTTATCCCTATGGCATGAAGGCCTATAAATTGTAGAACCTCCAAACCAATTACACTTTCGTTTCCAGAGATGTTATATTTCGTGAGACTATTTTTCCATTCCATTATCCAAACTTCTTGAAGTCTATATAATCTTGTAGTGATCCTTCACATCAGATTCATTCTTTATTTCCAACTCATTCACACCAATCCATTGATATACCTTCCTATATTCTAGCTCATTTAGAATCTCACCCTTCAAAATTGCCTGAGTTTCATTCCTCAGATCTTTTTGCTTCTCCAATATCACTTCCTCAAAATGAGGAACCTTCTTCACCTGAGCCTATCTCAATAGGTCTGCCTGAAATCACCACATCTGAACATATACCTTCTGAACCTGCACTTCAACCTTCTGTCATTCTAACTAGAAAATCTGATAGATCTAAAAGAACCCCATTTTATCTTCATGATTATCATTGCAACTTGGTCACTCAGGTTCCTGCTTCCTAGTCAGATTCCATAAGGAAAGGGACTGAATCTGAACCACCATACCCTATCTCAGATTGGCTAAATTATGGCCAATTATCTCTTGCACAGAGAATATATGCTTTAGCTCTGTCCATTGTTTATGAGCCTAAATCTTTTGTTGAGGCTTCTAAATCTCGAGAATGGTGTACAACCATGGATGCAGAATTTCAGGCATTAATAGCCAACAACACATGGTCTGTTACTGAGCTTCCCATTCACAAGAAACCTGTTGACTGAAATGGGTTTTCAAATTCAAATTGAAGTCTGATGGCATAGAGGAAAGAAAAAAAGTTAAGCTAGTAGCTAAAGGTTCACTCAGTAGGCTGGTTTGGATTATGAGGAAACATTTTCCCCTATTGCAAAGTTAGCCACTGTGAAGACCCTTCTTGCTGTCGTTGCTTACCATCAATGGCATATTCATCAATTAGACATCAATACTACTTTTCTTCATGGAGAATTGGAAGAAGATGTTTATATAAATATGCCCCCAGGTTATAAGCAGCATGGCGAGAATGGGGAAAGGTTTGGTTGCAGGCTGAATAAATCCATTTATGGGCTTAAACAAACATCAAGGCAATGAAATACAAAATTAACTACCTACATTGTATCACAAGTGTTTCAACAATCCAAGTCTAACTATTCTTTATTTAGCAAACAAAGTGGCTACTCATTACCATTTTCCTCATCTATGTAGATGATATAATTATAGGAGGAAATGATTTGCCTTACATTGAATGCTTCAAGGAGAGTCTGAATAATCAGTTCAAACTTAAGGATTTGGGCGTTTTGAAATATTTTCTAGGATTTGTAGCAAGGACTCCACAGGGAATATCAGTCTATCAAAGAAAATATGCATTAGAAGTTCTAATGGATGCTGGTTATCTTGGAGCAAAACCAGCAAAAAGTCCTCTACCACATAATATAAAACTGAGTAAGAACACATGGGAAGCTATCAATGATCCAAGTATATATAAAAGGTTAGTGATGTCATACTTGACAATAACAAGGCCTGATTTATCATAACCAGTGCAAGTTCTCAATCAGTTCCTTGAGTCACCAAAACGACCTCATTTGGAGGCTGCTCACCATGTATTGAGATATTTGAAAGGAACATCTAGACAATGTTTATTCTTTGATGTCAAACCCGATATGCAAATAAAGGGATTTTGTAATGCAGATTGGGCAACTTGCTAGATACAAGACAGTGAGTAACTGGTGATTGTATATTTCTTGGAACTCATTAGTGTCTTGGAAATCCAAAAAGCAACACACTGTATCACGGTTATCAGCTGAGGCTGAATACAGGTGAATGGTTGCTGTAGTTTGTGAAATCAGTTGGCCAAAAAATATTCTAAATGATTTAAGAATCCAGCACACCAAGGCAGCTTTACTCTTTTGTGAGAACCAATCAGCTATCCATATAGTTAATAATTCGGTATTCCATGAGAGGACAAAGCATATAAAAATCGATTGTCACCTTATAAGAGACAAAGTGCAGGCTGGAGAGGTGAAAATGCTGCACACTACTTCACAGAATCAGCTGGCTGATTTGCAGACAAAATCGTTGGTTGGAATTAAGTTCAAGACATTACTTAGCAAGATGAGAATTCTGAACATATACTCTCCATCTTGATGGGAAGTATTAAGATTTGTTAGATTGTATAGGGTCATTTATGTCTTTTACCATTCCTAATTTCATATATAAATAGGCGTTTGAAACTCGTTTGTAAATTAATTTTTTACTGGAAAAACTTCAGAAGATATCAACAACCTTTCCTGCCTTTTCCTCCATTTTCAGATCTTGATTTCTCTGTTGTAAAGTTCACAGTGAGCTTAATATTGATAAACTAAATCTGCAGGTTCAGGAAGCTGAGACAAAGGTGGAGTGTGAATCCATCAGTGCCCAACAGTCTCTCATAGAAGCAAATTAGATAATGAAATAAGAAGCGGAAATAATCTGTGCAATAATTTTGTTTTGAGATGTTAATTGTAATACACTAAAACTATGTTTGGGCCCCATTTTTTCAAAAACATATTTTCAACCACACATTCTTCCATAAAATAATATTATACATTAATCGAATTTTTTCCTCATTTTTAAATTATACATTCTCCGAAAAATCACTATTTTAAAACTAATTTTCCCCAAATTTCAATTCAAATAGAGCCCAAACAAGGGCTAACCAGGATGACTTAATTTGTGTGATTATATTACTTGCTACAATCGAAATCCATGCAATAAGTCAAGTTCTGCCTTTGAAATTTGGAAGATGGAAGTTTGTTATTTTTAGATACTTATCATAAAAAATTACANTATATATATATATATATATAATGCATTTTATAAGTTATTTATATGTTTAATGCATTTTAACAAGATCTATTATTTATTTGAATTATTGTTCTAGTAAGTTATATTAAATAATAGAGTCCGTAAATTCGAGTTTTAGTAATTTGTTAATAACATGGAGTTGATCGTGAGATATAAATTACATATGACAGAATCTTAAATCATTCATGGTCATAAATAATAACGAGATACGAATATCGTTATTACAGATAGACCATCAAGTGCGACATTTCTTACTTGTGAAGTAAATAACTAATCTCATAAGCAAATTGTAATGACACTTAAATGAACACGTGAATATTTTGTTATAGAACAAAACATTGAAAACTCGCTGGAGAGATTCCACATGGATAACTATTTGAGCGTCAATCGTTAATCTCTAACGTTCCATAGTGAAATTAATCCTTCAACTTAAAGTCATCATAGTGCCTTATATGATGGTAGTCATACTTTGGTGATATTGAATCTCTGTTAAAAGTCGCTAATATAGTGTCGTTCAAATATGTAAAGAATCATATGAAAGTTGTAAATGATCAGTATGTGATTCGTCACTCTTAAAAAGTAAGAGATTATGATGTACATTTCATTCAATTAAATTAATCACGAAATCTTTGGTCAATGTATGCTAACCTGAAAAGATTTTCGACTTATATTGACTTAAGTAGAGGATGAAAGATATGATTAATAATCGAGATGACACATATGCATATCTCGTAATTAATCAAATCATGTTGACGAAAGAATTATAGTTTCACGGTAAACGGACAAATTTGATTTTATCATTCCACGTGACATTTTGGTTACATGCATTACCCTAACACATTACTAGATGTCATCGGAGACGACATATGTGAATTGGTGATAAATTAATTGTCGATTTTGATTAGATTGAAATAATAATTCGCGTAGTTAGGTATCGTAATCGAAAATTTAATGGTCACATATAAAAGAAGAACTAGAAGAATGAGATTCACCAATTAATTAATTAATTAACAAGTGTTGAACATTAAATTATTTAGGTTTCTTGTTAATAGATGGACCAAATTTAATCAATTCAATTAATTAAATATTAGATCTGATTAAGTTTAAGAGATATGTTAAGCCCACTTGAACTTTTATTAATGGACTGCTAGAGTTTGAAAAATCATAACACAACATAACTATATTGTTGCTAGGACAAGAAAAAAAAACCTTAGTCCTCTCAAACTTGTTCCTGTGTGGATTTTTATGGTAGGCTGAACAATTGGACATGAGTTGTGGATTGCAGATCAGAATTGTTTTTCAAGGAATTCATCAAAAGTATAATTTTTTATCACGATTTCTATTTAAATACAAAGTAAAAATTTGGTGAGAATGAAAATATATTTTATTTTATGTTGTACATGATAAGTAAATTCCCAACATAAGGATAGCAAAGCCATCACAACCTATATATATGCTCGTTTGACCCACGTTGCACGGCCAAATAACTTTGCACTCCAATCTTTAAATTTAGCATAGCTTAGCATGGAGAGTTGCATATTAATCAAGTCAATCAAAATAATTCTCCCTTGTCACGAGATATGAAAACTTATTTGGGTTTTTCTAAACGGAGAGGGCCTACTTGGCCCTATCCTGTAGGAGGGCTCAACTTATTTAGCCCTTATTAAGTAGGGATTAAAATTTAAATTATAATCCAAGTTAAAATCAACAATTGATTTTAACAACATATTTTAAGAAAAACATAACATTTTAACTATATATTTCACTAATTTTTATTAAAATTTACTAAAAATCTGATTTTAATCTCTATAAAGTCTTAACATGTCTGCTTCTTCCGTTTCTTTCAAAGTACGATGATAATAATCACGTTATCTATCTTATTTACAATCTTATTCAATTAAAATATTGATTCACTTAATGTGTATATATTTTTCTTTCGATCTCACTTCACGTTGTAATCACCAATTAATTATTTTTTCTGCGAAAATTCTAAATTGTTCAACGTTTTCCATGGAAAATACAAGGTCAAATCTTGTGCATGCTGTTAGGTAAAAGTTGATAAAGCATGATTATAGTGTTTCAAATAATATAAATAACATGCGTAAGTGCAGTCGAAGGCATCAAGAAATTATTAAAATCAACACCAAAAATAAAGTATCATTGGCACTATCGAAACTTCCTTGAAATTCAAACCATGCCTAGAAGTCAAGATACAAGAATAATGTCAAAAACTTTTTTATACTGTATATTAAAAATATGATTATAACATTGATGAAACGTGACAAGATATACAGAATTAAATATAAAAAGAAATACGCGTGATTAAATTTATCATTGTTATATCTATAATGTAAATAAGTAATTTTTTTAATTATAATCACCAAGTGGACCAGGTTGGCATATTTGACTGTTTCTAATTCAAGGGCATGTTTGACTATAAAGCTTTCACTCTTTTTCCAAGAAGATGACTATTTACTTCCTATTTATACAGCCTTGTTGAGTACTAAGAATTAACATTAGCAACCACAAATTTTAGGTTTTCATTACAATCTTTACAAAATATATATTCTTTAGTTATTGGATTTATCAATTAACCTGCAGAAAGTCATGTCAATGGCAAGCTTTATCGTTGGATCCAGTTCAAGTGGCCTCCATATTAGGCCTTATTCTAAGGTTCAGACTTTGTCTTGGAATCCCATTTCTAAGTTGGGTTTCTCAAAACAGAAGGATCCAAGCTGTGTTTGGAGCAACAGTTTAGTACAGTGCAGTAACAAAAACACAAGGTAAGCATTTTCAGATTTCGGATAACCTCGTCCCGTTTATGTTCGATTAGATCATGTGGGCTCCTTTGAGACTGTATTTGGCACACAGTATTGGATTTGTGAGCACGGAATCTCCTTAAGGACGCACAATACTGGACTGGATCGAGGAGGCGAGATTTTAACTTCTTTTTCTTTCTCAATCGTATCTAATGATACTGTTTTGTTTTGTTACAGGAACTTCGTCGTTTATGCTAGCAGTGTACCAGGAGTTCCCTCCCCTTCTGGGCCACCTTCAAACTCCATGTAAGTTAAATTTCAAGAATGAAAACAGTAAATCCATTTATATTTTTCTTCTATCTAATTAGATGGTCTAATTAATACAAATATTTCTTCTAAATTTCTCCATTCAGTAGGAGCTGGATTCTGGGATTGGTGGTATCATTAGTTCTACCCTTTTTCAGTCACAAATTGGGTCCACTGTGGGTACTTAAAAGTAAGAATCTGCAATGATTCTTCTCCGTTATGAACTCCTTGTTACATTTCAACGAGGTTTCATTGTTCTTTATTGTTACACATGAACTTTTAATTAATCGTTCTAAACTTGGAATGTACAGATAGAATTGAAAATGTCGTGGAACAAGTGGAACAAATGGTGGAAGTGGTGGAGAAAGTGGCGGAAGAAGTTGATAAAATCGCAGATGATATAATGGATGATCTTCCTGAAGGACAACTTAAAAATTTGGTAAATCATATTGATGATATGGCTGAAAAAACAGCTAAGAATGCTGATGCAATTGGAGATCTAATCGACAAGGTATACCTAATTTATTTATTTATTTATTATAAAACATCATTTTTGTTCTAATCTTGACGAATAATTTTAACCAACCTTCAATAGTTAGTATTAAAGAAGTACCAAGTTGCAGGCGTGACTTCCTAGGAAAAAGACAGTAGCCAGTGTACCTTAAATGTTAAGTTGCACATGCCACTTGCACGAAACTTTTGAAATTCTTGGAATTTAGCCCTTGTTTGGTACGTATTAAAATTTGTATTCTCATTCTTCTACTCATTTTCGACTACACATTATTCAATAAAATAATATTTTCTATGACAGCAATAACTTTTTCTTTTTTTTTCAACCACACATTCTCCATCAATCTATTATTCTAAAATATATTCTTCTAAAATAATGTGACTCAAACACACAGTCTTATTTCAAATCTTAATTTGTCGATGTTTAGTCATTAAATTAATTTTTATTTTTTACAACCTTTTGGAGATTTTTTTTCAAGTGAAAAATAATTATTTGCAGGACGTGTGGTTAAAAAATATTAAAATTCACGAGTCTGATTGTCGAACAAGCTCTAAGTCACTTTTCTGAATTTGTTAGTTTGGTGAACTTAAATATTGACATCATATTTGATGATTTGTATCCACATTATATTTATCTTTATGCTATTATCGTCCTTGTTAATTTTTTCCAGCTATTAAGTTGTTAGGGTCCGTTTGATGGACAAATGTGGAAATGAATTCTAACTCCATGTTAGTTGGAAAATAAAAACCCACAAAATCTATAAGAATTCGTTTTCCATGAAAAAAAAATGCAATTTAAAGTGGTTGTACCTTGAAATTCGATTTCTATTTCCACGTTGCATTCAAATGGTCAAAGTGAAATTCGTTTTCCTCAAATGTGACATTTTTCATGCAATTCGTTGCAATCAAACATGGCCTAAGAGTTAGATGGAATGAATTTGATTTTATAAAAAAAAAACTAAAAATATTATTGTAATAATATGAAGTTGAGTGACCTTTACAATATTTCACCCCATGCAAGTTATTCACTGTACAACCCTATTATTGAAGTTCAAATGACAATGTTATGTAACCCTTATTTGGTATGCTTAAATTGTAGATTAACATTCAAGTTAAAGTTAATAATTAATTTTGATCACACATTTCAGAAGATCCACAATTTTTGAACTACACATTTCATCGACTTTTATCAAAATTTATTACAATTTGATTTTTAGCCACACCAAACCATTTCCTTTTTTCTATTTCTTCTTTTGGGTTTTAATTTTTTTCACAGTTTATGGCCCTCTTGGTTTAACTTGTATGAACCAATTAATGACTACAAGGTAAATTTGCAGGTTCAAGAAGCTGAGGATAAATTGGAGTCCTTTGTTGAATCTCTTGATGATGAAGCCAACAAGTCTCCTACAGAAGCAAAATAGAGAATGATATGAGATCAAAAAATAACCTACGCCAGTTAATTGTAATGGATTAATTGAGATTTTTGTAAATACAAGTATTCCTTAATTATTTGTCTCCAAATATTCAGGGGAGGTTGCTAGAATTTATTGATTTTGTTGAGCCCGGAAAAAAGTACGACGGCCGTGATTTGCATTTTCTTTTCTACTATATTTCGATATTCTCCCGCCTTTTAATCTCTTATATATTATAAAAAATTGCAACATGCGTTGCACATAAGTAGTAGTTTCTATGAACTATTGATACGATAAAGATGTACGGTTAAATTAGATAAATTTTCATATGGTGACGTCGTAGACAAAAAAACTGCATAAAATTTATTTTTCGAGAAAGCTAAAATAAATTTTAGAGTTATTTTATATTTTAGAGAAATGAAAATAATATTATATATTCAAAATTCATCTATGTAGTACCCTGGCAAGTAAGAAATCTTAATTTTACCATTTATACCTGTCAATTTCATAAATTTTCGTTCCATACATACCTCTTTGAAAATACTTATATTTCAATTCACTTTCTGATCAACATTGATACACCGACGATTTCAAAGATATTGGAGCAATAATTTATGTCATTAATGTTCATATTGTTGTTTGTTAGTCACGGGATCGAATCTTATGGTTTTGCCATTCGGTATGAGTACTTGTAATAGATAGATGCTTATAAATGAAGAATAAAGTTGTTTGTACAAATGAATTGTACATGGCAGGTTACAGGTACTGAGATGATAGCACCTTATTGATTGTTTTAACATTGATTTTTGTCCAAACTCCAATGAAATATTGTCAAATATGTCCGTACATGTAGCATTGTTGATAAATGAAATAACATTATGACTAATGCTTCATGAGTATATTGACATTCAAGATCATAGTTAAGGATCGTCCAAAGGTTGGTCGGTTAATTTTATTAATTCTTGAACATGACCATGATTACTGGATATGCTTAATTAGATATGTTTTGTATATCCAAAGATTAAAAAAAAGATATATCACTAGAGTATACATGATTACCAGTTATGTTTATTATTTGCATAACCTTAAGAAGAACTTCGATATACATGTATTAGTATGTGATATGCATCTAATGAAAATGTTTAAGTTAAAAACTCAAAGTATTAATGTGCGAGTATTTTATGTTTTGTAGTATTTTTTTCACGTTTCTCTATCTTCGCAAGCTTCATCTGTTCCATTGTTCAATATGCTTAATTTATTTGACTAGTGTGAACAAATCCAGTTGCGTTTAGGAGTTCCGAACTAGACTTGGCACTTAAAGTAAAGAAACTTGCTAATCTAATTGATGGAAGTACTGCTCATGAAATAACTTTCCATAAGGTTTGAGAAAATTCAAATAGATTGAGCATAATGTTTATAGTAATGACTTTAGCAAAGAATATTCAGGTCTACTATTCTCAAAACTGAAAATGCTAAGAAATACATGATGTTTGGGAAAGATCAATCCCAAATAGCTAATAAATCATTTGTTGGCACACTAATGTGTAAGTTAACCACCATGAAATTTGAAGGTTCTCTTACCATGGATGAGGATGTCATTGATAGGTCTAATATTGCTCCAACACCTATGACTGTAGATAAGAACTTCCTGGTACAGTTTATTATCAACTAATAACTTGTTTATGGTCCATTTTAAATGAAAAATAGCTTGAAGGGAAAATGTAGTCATTGTTTGAGCTCCATTTTAATGAGATTTTGAAGAAAAATATATTTTGAAATAATATATTTTGAACAATGTGCGGTTAAAAAGAAAGAATTTTTTTGGATTTACTCGTAATATTATTTTGTTGGAGAATGTGTAGTTAAAAAGAGGAGAAAGAAAAATACATTTTAGATAAAATTGAGCCCATATATGGGTTAATGTGATTGAATTGCATAATATGCTCGTACATGAGGAGACATGGATTAAGAATCAAGGAGCTCAATCTTTTTATCTCGTAAGTCATTAAAGGGCAGGAAAGAAATATTTAAAAAAAGTTTGATAGATGAGTCTTCTGTCTATATCCACAATAAGGCTATGGTGCACACAAGTCATATAAGATTTGGATGACGGGGCTGTTTTCCTATTTTGATTCAAATGCTACTTGGAAGCCAATTTCTACGGGATTTCAACCTAATTTTGGAGGCATATAAATACAGAACATGGTCAAAGACTTCAAGACGCCTTTCACACTCCAACATATATAAATTACCATCATCGAAGAGAGGAAAATTCAATTGTTCTGGTCATTTAAATGGAAATTACAAGATTTCTACAAATTGAAGATTAACATTGATCCATAGGCAAAGAATTGAAGGCACAATTGGAGATTCATCAATAAATCGTTGAAGACATTCGGGATTTCAAGATCATTTTTCTTCTTCTCAATTTATCTATAATCCGGTTTAGATCATCACACAGATTCTTGAATTTTGGATTCAGCATGTTCCTATCACATGACATGAAATAAAGATTGGTTTGACACTTACATGTTAGTAAATTCTGGTTCTGTTCCGATGGGGAAATGATGCATATTGCAGATTGTTGGAATAGGGAATATCAGAATTACAATGTTTGATGATGTTGTTAGAATATTATGTAATGTTAGACATGTGCCAGATTTGAGAAAGAATCTCATTTCATTGTATAATGTGTTGACTATGATGAGATTTTCTTCCTTGTGGTTAGGCATACTTCCACCAGGGCAGTGTTGGCTTTAGTAGCACATTTGGAAGTGCAGTTGGAGCAGATGGACGTAAAGATACCTCTAGCAAGTCATTTTAAATTGTCTAACACTCAATAACTGAAGACAGATGCAGAAAATGAAGGCATGTCAAATGTTTCATATGCTAGTGTAGTGGGGTGTCTGATGTATGCTATGGGTTTTACAATATCGAATTTGGCACAAGTTGTTAGCGTGGTGAGCCAGTTTTTGGCAAGTCCAGGGCGACAACATTGGGATACAATCAAGTTGATTTTCAAATACTTAAGGGGTACTACAGACTATGGTATCATGTTTAGTAGGCAACAAAATGACCCTCAGTTGGAGGATATGTGGATTCAGATTATGCAGGAGATTTGAATGATAGGAGATTGATTACGGTTATGTATTCACTATGGCGGTTGGACCTATTTGTTGGAGGTCCATGATTCAATCTCTAGTTGTACTATCTATGATTGAGACAGAGTATATGACTGTGGCTGAGGTTGCCAAGGAAGCTTGGTGGCTTATAGAAATGATCAAGGAGCTGGGTATTCAACAAAGTGGAGTTCAGTTGAAATCAAGGAATTGGTTTCATCTGTTGAATTATTTCTTGAGAAAGTTCACACGGGAGCAAATATGTTGACAAAACCTGCTGTCACAAATAAGTTCAAGCATGTTTCGCTCCCGTGTACGTAGGCACATCGCCAAACCACTTAAATATGTGCTCTTATTTCATATTCTTCATCATTATTATTGTTTCTCAAATCACAACACTTTTCAATTAATTGGCTGCTGATTAGAATATTTTATGAATTTTATTGTTATTGAGAGAGACAAATTGACATATTGCACTTATAACAACAAATATTATGATGTTCGATAGGGGATATATATATATATATATACCTTTTTTTGTATGATTTCTATAAATGTTCTAGTATTTTTAATACATGATTTCATGTTCGCATCTCTCATAAAGATATATGAATGTTAGTTTATATTTAATTGTTATCGAGAGATACTATTAATCAACTTACAAACATTGATTAAGAAGAATGAATACATATTGTCTTGCTATTGAATTGCATTAAAACATTTAAATCCTAATAACCATCTCACATAGTTTTACAAAAAGCCTTCTTAATTTGTTCAATAGAAAAATTATTTTAATAGTTAACTCTTCATACACAATTGACTATTCAATTAAAGTTAAAATTAATTTATTCTAGATTAAGTACGTAGTCCTCGTGGGAACGATATTTTATTCATCATTATATTACTTGTTTATGATACCGTATATTTATAGATTTCATAAGATTATTATGGTTACGTCTATTTATTGCATGAAAAGTTTCAAGTAGTAATTACTTTAGAGATTTTTATTAATGAAGTTGAACGACAATTAAATACAAAGGTAAAAGTCAATACATCTCACGGAAGTGGTGAATATTTTAGAAAATATGATGAATATGGACAACAACTTGATCCATTTGCTAGATTTATTGAAAGATGTTAGATATGTACTCAATACACTATGCTAGAGTAGATATACACACAATGGTGTAGCAAAAGATATAATCACACTTTAATGAAAATTGTTGGATGCTGCATTATGCAATTCTTCTTCACCCATCTATTTGTGGATGTATGATTTAAAGATTACCATGTATGCAAAACATAGTTCCTAGTAATGCATCCTAAAAGACTCATTTTGAACGGTTGACTGAACCAGTTTATGGGACTTTACAAATAAACTAAAAATTCAAACAATTTCTCAAAGCACTACCTACTCTTTTTCATTACCAAAGTAATAATTTTTCTTCTTCTTCTTCTTCTTCTTCTTCTTCATATTATTATTATTATTATTATTATTATTATTTGCACTATAGTTTGTAACATAGCGTGTTACACATTGTTCCAAAGCTGTAACTTACACCACATAAGCTGTAACTGCCATTTGTACCATTTAGTGTTATGTCATTGTCACCATCATTATTTAAATTATACTATGTTACACTTACAATGTCAATATCAAGACTAGTCACAATTATTGTACCACCAAATTGTTGTCACTTGAAAATCGTAGTTTATCCCACCAACCACTCACTTCCAAAATCAAGCCTCCACACCATGGCCACCTCCTGTCTCCACCATAAACTATCACTTCCAAAGCCTTAAATCACCACCCCTCCTAGATTAGCACTACCGCTACCAGAACCACCAAACATATTGCCACCTTCACCACCATTTGCTCCACTATCACCACTATCGCGCTACCATCAATGGTTGAAGTTAAATCTCCATATCAACCACTATTTCCAATATCTTAGTACTGGTATTGAATGGAGATATGGAGGGAGACGAGACGAGATCTAGATATATATATATTTTTTCTAAAAAAAATTCAATAATTAGTGAATAGAAAAGTAGAAAGTGTAAAGTTAGAATTTCAAAAGTAAACCAGGTTTACAGCGTAATTAACTCTAGAATTTAACTACGGATTTTTCATTCTTTTTCAAATACAAAATATTAAAATAAAAAATCATACGAAAACATGTGTAGAATATTTTAGTGGGGCCAACGACTTTCATTTGATACGAATACTGAATAATACTAAATTAAAAAGAAGAAATTTTTATTAATCATACTCATGTTTGGTGTATATTAAACTTAGATTTATAGTAGATTTTAATAAAAATTGATGAAATGTATTGTTAAAAAGTTATAGATCCATTAAATATGTAATTAAAATTAATGATTGAATTTGACTTGAAATTTTAATCTCAACTAAACAGGAGCTAAATTTTTTGTACTGTAGCATTATTTAAACACAAAAATGATAAACGATTTTCATTTGAAAAATAATTTGAAGATAAACGACACAATTTTCTCGTATCACAGCTATAAACTTCACTCCTTTGCCTAGTGACAAACTTTCATTTATTTATTTATTTATTTTTTCCGATGATCATGGCAACCCACTCACGAAAATACATTTTTTTGGTAATAAATTTGGTTGAATCCTTTAAGAAAGAAAATCGTTCGAACCTAATCATAATTACTTCTAATTCCAGCAAACTAAAATCGGTATGTAGCTTAAAACGCGTCTCTAATAATAATAAATGCTATTACGCATAAGATGTTGTACTTCCCGCAGTATCTGATGTACAATGTTTCTTCAGATCCAAAATTCGCCTGCAAATTCACAGTCGAAGAATTTCAGACAATCCTCCATTGAAATAGGAAGCCGTACTCACTGGCAAATTTGGTATATTGAGCTCACATTCTACTGACCTCAAACGGTGTCGCTTAGTTCTAATCATTCACCAATTTTTTAGATCTTTCATGGCTGTTCCAGTAGAAGAAGCCATTGCTGCTCTGTCTACATTCTCATTAGAGGTAGTTATTATGAATTACTTACGAAATAATTGATCATTTTCAGTTTAAGTAATCGTTGGGTTTGTTTAAATTACTGGGTTTTATGCTTGATTGGTTTTAGGATGATCAACCAGAAATACAGGGACCTGGGATTTGGGTATCCACTGAAAGAGGTGCAACCACTAGTCCAATTGGTACGTCTGGTTTCTTGAAGAATTTTTTTTTTTTTTTGTTTTTCTGATCCTAGAAAAAGTTTTTCATTTTTCATTTTTTTTTTTTAAATTATGATGCAAGTTACAGATTCTGGTTCATAATGAGCAACACAATTATGTGTGAATGTTTCGTGTTATGTTTTGATTGTTGTTTAACTTACCTTTTAGATAATAAGTTCGTGATTTCAAGAAAAATGCAAATGTTTCAAGAAAAATGCAAATGTTTCATATGTAAATGAACTGATATTGTACTTTGTTTATAATTTTTGCATCTTTTGCTAGTAACAATAATAAATTTTTTGTTTAGTTGAACATAATTATTTGCTTACTTACCTGGATAGGAAAATTATTAATTTTGGAGAAATAGAAAAATATAGTGCATGAAGACGACGTGTGGTGCACGGTTATTGGTTCTTACAATGTGAACTAACATGTTCAGCAGATGCTTATTGCTTATCAGTTTTATACTCTTCTTTTCCTTGCAGAATATAGTGATGTTTCTGCTTATCGATTATCTTTATCCGAAGATACGAAAGCCATCAATCAGCTGGTATGATTTATATGTTCATATAACTGCATATTTTAATAAACTTTTTAGATTTCCTTTACAAGAACAAGAACTAAGGCTTTTTCCTAATAAACTTGAGGTTGGCTACATGGACCCTTATGTCCTCCATTTAATTCAATTTGAAACTACCTCTTCTAAAGGTCCAAGAACACCAAATCTTCCACAGTTCCCCAATAAGCCTTATTCTTATTAAAATGATGACAATTTTTATTTACTTTTTCCAATTTCGTGTAAGATTTTGGAACTTGATGCTTACAAGCTTTCTTTGATGATTCAAACTGCTGAAATGAATAAAGAATCTGCTTATACAAGAGGGGAAAGAAATGGGCTCAGTGCTTTATACATATCGGAGTTGTGTTAAAGCTCTTCCTCAGGTCAGACAATACCTCTGGCCTCGTAAATATATGTTTCTAGTGTTAGGTATGGCTATTATTTGGTCTATCTGTTTTCTTTCGGTTTCAATTTGTTATAATAGAGTTGTGTGTCTCTACACAAACATATTCTAAATCTTTTCTTTTTTCCGATAGAAAGATTGGAGTATTCAGGTACTTTGTATTAGCATGTAAAATTGTGCTGAGGCTGGCATTTGACAAAGATCATGATGACTATCATATAAGATGAACTTGATCTTGTAAATGGATCATACAAGTTTAGCAATCATTAATGCTCTAAGGATGTAGGGATGACTTAGACAGTAAAATTCACGTTAAGTTAATGCTAATGGTTAGTTTTGGCATTTCTGGGTTTATGTGACTTAATTCATAAGCAAATAATAATTCTATAAGTAATTGTAAGATTTTGAGAATGATAGTATGTTTCTTTATGATCATATTCTAATTGTTTGTTTGTAAACTTCACTCTGATGTAAATGGGCTATGATTTGTTTGAGCATAACTCTCTTAGTAAAAAATGGTTTCTGTATAATACGAGAACATTTTCCCACCTGTACATATTTGTGCTTATAATGTAGCCAAAATGTTACACACACTTCCAAGTGATGACAAATTTATTGCTGCTCTTGGCAATTGGCATTTGATTCCTTGGGGTACTTTTACTATTGTAATATAATAAAGGGTATATACCTTGTGGCAGCTTCCAGATTCAATGAAGCAAAGTCAGGCTGACTTATATCTTGAAACTTATCAAGTTCTAGACTTGGAAATGAGCCGTGTCCGTGAAATTCAGCGGTGGCAAGCATCAGCTGCATCTAAAGTGTGAACTCTCGGTTTTCTTCATCTTCATTATTTAAGTCTGTTGTCAAGGTCTATTCTAAGCATTGTTTTGATGTTCTTGATACAGCTAGCAGCTGATATGCAACGTTTTTCTAGACCTGAGCGACGCATCAATGGTCCTACTATAACTCATCTCTGGTATATTAATAGTGTCCATTTTGTTTACTGCCCACCAAAATTATTATCTGGTTAAAACACAACTATAGTAAGTTCGATAATGCTACATCTGAACTGCTTTAAGGTTTCTGCATTTTTCATATCAAAAAATTGAAATCATTGACTCAATGACCTTAAAATCTTGCTAGTTCTGTTTGTTAAATCATGGCCATACTGTTATTTTTAGAAGCGTATCCCTCCCTCCAATAAAAGGAAAGGGAAAAAAAAAAAAGTTGGTATGTGGCACTATCAGGGAAGAACTATTTCTTAATTCATTGTGCAAACATCTAAAAGTATGCTTCTTTATAAATATCATTTTGCACTTGATACTAAATATAATTAAATTACGTATTCTTAAAGAAAACAAAAACTAAGACTTTGTCAATCTAACAGAAGACATGAGATCCAGGCAAGTATGTCAGTATAACAACTGAGACTGACTACCTTTTATTACATGCAAAACTCTCAAACATAATTGAATTAATACCGTTCAACTGCAGCACAATTATGTCTTGTCCTACATCATTGATTTCACTTATTTTTGAGAATTTTTGCTTCTTCTCTGGTTTCCTGATGTCGCACAATCTGATCACGTATTAACTAATTATTTCTCAGGTCAATGCTGAAGGTACTTGATGTGTTGGTCCAACTTGATCATCTGAAAAATGCGAAGGCTAGCATACCCAACGATTTTTCTTGGTACAAAAGGTATGTTTGTTGTTTCAAGAAAAGGAATATAACTTGTATAGCTGATTTTCTTTTGCAATTTATAGTAATTCTTTTAGATCTTAATTTACTAAACAACAAATCTTGACCGGGTAATAGTTTACCCGAATCACTAAAAATAAGGAAACTAATTATAATATCCTATAATCAATCTGTGTATTACAACACTCCTCTCAAGTTGGGTTGTAAATATTGTTTAAACCTAACTTGGACTTCAATTCTTCAAATTTTATTCTAGGAAGTGCTTTTCACATGCCGTTTGAAGCTCTGTTGGAGTATAGACCAAAGAGATTGTCTCTTCTTCTATTTTTTCTTTGATGAAATGTTGATCTATCTCCACATGCTTCGTTCGATCATGGTGAATCGGATTCTTTGCGATACTAATGACAGCTTGATTATCGCAGGACATTTTCATAGGACTTTCAATTGGTTCCTTAGCTCCTCCAGAACCCTTTTCAACCACATTCCTTCACAAATTCCATAACCTATAGCTCAAAACACTAACTCAAGACTGCTTCTTGACACAACTGATTGTTTTTTGCTTCATCAAGTAACCAGGTTTTCCCACATTAAAGTACAGTATTCGAAAGTAGACATTCGATCGGTTATAGAGCTAGTCTACACTTCTTTTTGTAGTCTTCCAGAAATAAAGTCCTTTACTTAATATAATCTTGAGATATCTTAGTATTTTGTAAGTTTCCTACACGTGCTCTTCAATTGAATTATTCATGAATTGACTTACTGTACTAATTGCAAAGTCAATGTCAAGTCTAGTGTGGAACAAACATGTGAGCTTTTGTTCACGAAAATATATTTCGAATTAAAATCACCGCAATTGTACAATTTGTTAATAAGTAATAAAGTGGAATTGAGTCTAAATATCGTCCCACGGAGATTGATTAGTTCGATTTTAATTATCACAACCTTAACCGAAACAAGAATAGTATTTTGTGTTTGTTTGTGACCAAATTATGAATAAATTAATCTACTTATGCAACATATAGATTGGGTGTTGCCTACATGTGTTGAGGATATGCTGCGGGCATGGAGGAGAAAGTTTCGTAATAAGGATAGCAAGCTTGTTTGGAATCTTATACCGAGATGCATTATTTGGTGTGTGTGGAGAGAACGGAACAACCGGTGTTTTGAAGGCCAAACACGGACTACAGAGCAATTTAGAGAATTCTTTTATCCGACTTTGTATAGTTTGTTTAATGCCGCAACTAGTAATCTTATAGAGGGGCTGTCTAACTTTATGTCTTTTCTTTCTTGTTTAAGTTGATAATACACTTTTTGTGTATTCTTTTTTAATTAATAAAATTATTGAATTATCTATCAAAAAAAAAAAAAAAAAAAAAATAAATTCAAAAAAAA